CAGTCACAATTTTGTAACTGTATGTAACTATAGTTATTGAAGTTAAAATACACTATAACCATTTTTTTCTCTTTTCAAAAACTGCATATCTTGAATAAAAGGTAACAATTCAATTCAATTCAAAAATACTTTATTGATCCCAGAGGGAAATTAGGTATTGATCCCAGAGGGAAATTAGGTAAATTGAATTGAAAGAAGACAACCAATCAAATTGTTTGAATAGCCTATGACGCAAATTCAGTCCCTGGTAGCATGGGTCAGGCCATAAAGATATAGCAAGTGTAGTGGTCACCCTGGGTGGAATAAACGTTCCACCTGCCTTTGAACTTGACCACGGAAGGCCTCCTTTAAAGAACAGAACTCTATTCATTTTTATGGTCATAACGTGTTTTCTTAAACAATTAAGGGACATTTTATTTCATTTTATTCTCTATAATCAAGATAATAAACAAAATAGTAATGTTCTTTATATGTTTTGACTTTACATATTTTACTTAAGCAAAAGTTATTTCTTAATTAAAGTTATCATTTTAAAGTTAAAGTTATATGCTTAACTGAATGACAACTTATGTTCTTCTCACTATAATCAGAGAAAGAAAGAAAGTCACAAAAGATGTCATTTTAATGTTTATTTTGTGTATGTTAATCAACCATTATTTGAGTATAAGGTGATTATGTTTTTCTTTTCAATTCAACTATATAAGTGTATGATTTTCTGCTTATGTTTAACAGAGGTTGGTGTGAGAAGTTTCACTAAAAGCTGAGAGTTTACAGAAGCAGCTTTTGAGCATGTAAAACAGGGTTTGTTTGGTCTACGAGGCAAACTTTCCCATGAGAACTCTACGCTCCTTTAACTTTCTGATTCACACCTGTTAACACAAGGTCGACCGAGAGACGACTCTCTCTACCTCCCCCTCTTGTCTTTTCTATACTAACACGGGCAAAAGTCCGCCAGTTCTCTCTTGTCTCGGTCGACAGCAGTTCTAGCAGAGTCTGGCGCGGGTCAGACTCGGGGAACTGTCTGGCCTCTCCCAGCAGAGAGAGCAGAACATTTGTGGTGAAGATTTTAGCTCAAGAGCTAAAGAGCTAATCTTCCCACTAGCCTAACGGCGACGCCAGTCGTGGGCTCCCAGCACCTCTCTTTGAAGTTGAGACTCTACAGAGAGTCGCTTTTGTTTTTATCTGAAGAAGCCAAACGACGGAGTATCAGATTGACACTGAACCGGACCGACCCAAAGATAATCAACTTCCTGAAGCTGAGTCCGGAGCAGTGCTGACGGTCCTAAGCGGACTCAGAGGTCTGAAACCTGGACACCTTCAAGCTTACCTGACTGACGTCTGAAAAGGTAAAAGCTGAACGTTGGTTACAAAGTGTCGGAGTCCTGGCTGTGTCACTAAAGACCACTCCATCCTTCTGGCTTTTTACAGCATTGATAAGATAAAATCTAGTTCACTCTCCCATAATAACCACTTTTCCTACCTAAACTTAACTTTACTTCACTCTTACTAAGAATTTGCCTCAATTAGGTTTATTTAACATCAAAGAACCTTGTTGTGTCATATAAGTTGTCAAATTAACGAGATTTAACCCTTTTTAAGAGTTAATGGTTGATTTAAACTTATGTAAAGCCCTTATCCATCTTCCAATGAGTTTGTATGTAAATAATTGTTTTGTAAAATAAATATCATTTATTTTTAGATAAACTTTATTGACTACGATACTCATTGTCAAAGTCTTGGTCATAATAAAGGTGATGGTTATTATTATTAGTATTTAAAATCGAAAAGAACCCGTTTCCTCGTATATTAACTATATTAATATTAATCGATATTAATTAGGTTAAATATGAGAAGTTATGTTGGAGGTAATCTCTACACAAGTAAGCACAAACTGGGATTGTACTATGGGTCAGTACGTTGAGGGTTAAGAGGAAGGCTGGAAATAGCAGAGATAGCAAAATAATCTTCCACAGCTCAGGACCTCAGAATTCGCTTTCCAACATGACCCAGAGCCAAAGCACACAGAGAGGAAAAACCAGTGGCTTAGGGACAACTCTGAATGTACGTGAGTGATTCAACTAGAGCCCTGACCTGAACTCTATCACTCCTGACCTGGCTGCCCAGTGTTGGTCCCCATCCAACCAGACTGAGCTTGAGAGGATTTGTAAAAACAGAACGGCAGGAAGTGCCCTAATCCAGGTTTGGGGTGGGAGGTCAAATCTTATTCATAAGATTGTGTCACATTGTAGACATGAATAATTCTGAATAGATTTTGAAAAATCAAAAGGGAGTTTGTTTATGTGAGTCAGAATGGAGTTAGCGAAGTAGTTGCTTTACGGTGTTTGTCCTAGTTGAGCTACTATGAAATCCCTTTGGTAGAAACATGTTTCATTAAATTGTTTTTTTTTTTTAAATTGCTGAAGCCTCAACAAAATATATCTGTAAATAAATAGCTGAAGTGATTATAAAATATCACTGATTGTAGTTACAACTTTAAAACATTTTATATGTGTAGATATTAGAGTGCTAAACACAACACTAATTGCATTAGCTTTTCAAGTGGAGTTTTAAATATTAAGTTAAGTTTTATGTTAATTAAGTCAGCAACCTTTGGTTAATAGGGTGATTTTGACACATGTTAATGTGAAGGTATTAGCATGGATCATAAAAAAATGTGTTATTTATGAAAAATAAGTCAGTCTTTACATCTTAAGGTAATCAAAATGCGTTGTTAATTGTTTTATAATTGGCTTGCAGCCATTTGAATTATAATTGAATGGAGCTGTAAGGTCTCTAAAGATTCCCACCCCTTATTCAGGTGTGTAAAGTTCGTTGCACCAAACTTAAACAGGCTTGAGGCTGCAACTGTTATCAGATGTGTTCAGCTAATTAATAAGAAAAGGATGTGAATATCTATATAAACGTGATATTTTCATTTGTTCATTGTCAGACATTTACAAAACCATACTGTGTTGTTTTTACTTTGCCATTCTGGGGTACAGAATAGGCCTTTTTCTGCAGGCTCGGTTCTCTTTGGCTCCACCCCACTCCACGCCAGTATTTGGTTTTCCACTGTCGGCTCCCACCCCTTTTTGGCCCGGTTTGTGGAACTTCTTCGAAGGTAGAACCACGGTGCCGGTACCGTTTGGGGCGTGGGGTGCCGAAGCGTGTAACAGTCCATGATTGGCCAGTGGAGCTACATGAACCGATATGAGCAGATGCGCGAGCAGTAGGGGCGAGCTAAAAACGTGAGAAATTAGAGATTTTTCAAATGATGGTGAAAGCGCTGGGAGAAACTAAAAAATCTTGAGCCAAATTGTAGTGAAAGATCACAACAGCTGGATTAGGTCAAACCAGTGGGACTGAAGCTGGTTTAGGTAAATGGAGGCGAAACTAGGACTTTTGACAAACTTCAGTGAGTGCTTCATGCAATTTGTGAGACATTGAACGAAAATTGTGAGACACATATCTCGCTTGCGAAATTATACTTTTTTTTATAAAGTTTGTATGGACGTGTCTTTTGTGCATGTTCATTTCCAATGCTAACTAGTGAGCAGCTACTTTTCTAGCGGCTAAATGGCTAGTTAGCGATCCAGGCTAAATACTAAAACCCTCTGCTCTACATTTATTGTATTTAATAATATTTATTTTACCATGATCAAGGTTAATCTCGGTCTTTTTGTTCAGAGTCACCCTTGAACAGTGACCAGCTGAGCTCCCGGGACATCGGTACCGGCTGCCTCGCCATCCGGGTCGAGGAAGCTGCTGGTCGGGTGGCTACAGGAGAGAGGAGCTTTTCCCGTTTGGACTTTAAAGTAGTTTGTTAGGTGATTGTGTGTGTGTGTTTTAAGAGGGTATTTCTTGTCTGACTTTTATTTTGTGCAATAAAGATACTATCAGCAATACTATTTGTTTTTCATTTAGTTAAATACATAAGAAAAATACACAACACAGTCTATATTTACTCACACAGGAATAAAGTGAGCAGTAACTGTTAGTTCATTTATAAGAAAATCATTTTGGTGGTGTTTTGCTGCATTTATAAGCAATGGTTTGCTGTAGCAGGGTATGAGTTTTATTTACAGAACAAATATCAAACTTTTGTATATCAATAGTTAGCTGTAGCACTGAATGAGCAATGATAAACGGCAGTTTCAGCACCTCCATGTTAATCATACCACCCACTTTTAAACAACGTTGTTAACCACTTTGCACTGATGATACCACCCACTGATCAGGGACACAGTTGCAGTGGCAAATCACCTACTCCTGAGTAGAACTGATCTGTTGAGAACCGAGTGGAGCTGTACTTAGCAGTGGAAAAAAAACGCCTAGTGGACTTTTTTGTGAGATTTTTTTTTATTTTAATTTTGTTTGTTACCTTTTGGTAGTTATGTGTGTTTATGGCTACACTTGTTTTCTGTGAGTTTCCATGTGCCATCGGTTCATTTTTTTCAAGCTTTTTTTTCTATCTGATCACCACCTGCTCAGTTTGCTGCCACGCCTACTTTCACCTTAGCCATGTCTCGTTAGTTTCATCTGTTTGTTAACACCTTGTTTACCTCAGCCTACTGAACCCCTCTGCATCAGTCTAGAGATCAGTGGAGCATTGTGCATTGCAGATGCCACGTCTGGTCTCCTCAGTGCACCCTTCATGTCTCACTCAGTTCCTGCAAGTTAGTTTTTGCGGCCAAGTCAGTTTTTGTCATTTCGTAATAAAAGTTCTAATTAATATGCTCGTCTTCCTTGTGTCGAGTCTGCATTCCTAGGTACAAATGCTCCTAATACTGTGACAACTATAAATTAAATTCAACAAAATATAACATTGCTAAAAGTGAAGATGGTGAGAAGACTTTCTAAACTCACTGTTTGGTTAGAAGATCACATCAACCATTTTAAAAAGACAGCCTCTTACGTTTTTAGACCTTTAACTCCCCTCATCCCCTTTATGCATTTCCGAGCTAAAAGCAGTCATTATGTAATCTGTTGCATTCTGTTACCTGGTCTCTAGGGGGATGTTGCTGTTGAGCACCCAGCTGTTGTGAAGCTGGCCCTGGTCTGTGTTCGAGCTGTTGTCTGCCCCCTGACCCCCCTGACTGCTTTGGCAGCGCGTTGGCATGGTCTTCCTCTGCAGGCTGACCTGAGCGTACGGCGCCGGGCGGGCACAGGTGCAGGCGTGGGGCGGCGGCGGAGGCGGGGGCAGCGGACGGAACGTGAACTGACCACCTGGACTGCTGGGAAGCTCTGCGCAGAGACAAGAAAGAGCGGGGAGGAGGGGGAGGGAAGGACAGGGGAGGAATAAACACAGCTTTATTAGAAGCACTATATCATAAATTACAAATAAAAGCAGAATGTTAGTTGACAGTTTATTGTTATTACACTGATTGAGAGACATAAATCAGCTTGAAACTGTCCCTGTCCGGTGCTTTCCCCTGCCTACCTGCTTTGATACACTTCCAGCCACCCTATAAATAGATTCTTGGCTGGCTGTAGCATTGAGCAGTCTTTAAAGAGCTAACAGTTCTGGCTTAATCTGCACCCGCCAGCCCAAACTACCCATGTGATGTTTATTATGAGATCTCGACGGAATGAGCTAGCCAGCTGTAACTCCCTCACACTGGTAACCCGAGGGTCCGGTGAGAGCGCTCGCAGTCCATCATTTATCATTCTCTTTCACCATAACTCTCTCTCTCTCTCTCTCTCTCTCTCTCTCTCTCTCTCTC